TCAGCTCCATCCTCTAACCAGGTACATCATGCATCTCATCAGATCTGCAGTAAGGTGTGACAGACAGGAACTGATAACCCAGCAGTGGTCCACCACTGCCGTACCTGCTACCACCTTTCCCTGGTGAGGGAGCTCTGTCATCTGATGAGATGTTTTGTGTCAGGAGGCCAGTTCAGCTAAGCAAGGAAGCCATAGCACAGCTTGTATGTGAAAAGGCAGCACACAGGATGGGGGCAGGACAGACAGGCTACAATGGCGGAATTGAGGAAACATTGCCTGGGCATGTAGGGATGGCAATTATTGTCAAGGAAGCCAAAGCTCAGATAGAATTGAGACTTGCAAGGGATGTCAAGGGCACAAAGAAGAGCTTCCACTGCTATGGTAGTGGTAAAAGGCTGACAAAGGAAAACGTGGGCCCATTGCTGAATGACAACAGAGACAGATCACAGCAGGTCCCTACTGCCTTCTTTGTCATCACCAGCAAGTTCTGCCAGGCCTTTGCATTTAGTGACTAAACTTAAGGAGGAGAGGTGCTACCAGCTGAGGATGTTCATATTAAAGAAGCAGGAAATAGCCATTGCTTACTGATTCTGATTGCAAGTATGAACAATGAAAACATAATCCAAATTTAAGCAACACAGAAGATTTCTTAGTCCTGAAATATTGGCAAGATCAAAATTTTCTTTTCTTTAATGAATTTTTAATTCCAGTGCCTACACTAGCTTTCTCACTTTGGAGTGAAAGGAAAAAGAGATGACAAGTTTTGAAGCACTAAAAACCTAGGTCAGTTATCACTCATGCTAAGTAGCCATCCAAATGCCATATGGGCAGAAAAAAGCAGTGGCAAAACTCATGTCCTTTTCCTGAAATGAATGGTGTATCTCTATTCTTTCTAAAGACAGCAGTACAAAGCAGGTAGTCAGATCTAACCTCATTTGTTGAGTAAATTCAGCTATGTGAAAGAAACAGTAACTGCACTCTGTTCTACAACAGAAAGTAAGACTTATTTGAATAGAAAAAAACACTAATCAGTTTTTTATATACATATAACATTCGGGGTGTGTGTGTATATATATACCTCACTATACTCCAGTATGTGTATATATACTTATGTATACACACTGATTTTTTTAAAGATAATTTTCTTCTTTTCTTTTAATAATATTAAGATTTACCTGGGCCTTTAAGAACTCCAGACTAACTTTAGAGTTGTCAATCTAAGATTACACACTGAAAAACCTGATGTTTAGTTCAGCACTCAAATAACATGTAGCAAGAATTTACCTATACTTTCAAAGAACCAGTAAGAGTCCTCTTTATATGTAACAATTCAATGATTGATTCTTGTTTTTACTTTTCAGTCCAGTTGCCTCTTTTAGATTCTGTTCATTATTTTCTATACAATAGAACCCCCCCAGGCTTTGACTTGGTAAGTAACTTTTGACAAGTGGGAGGAATGCACAAAAGGGCATCCAGATCCCCAGATGTGACATACTAATGCATTCTGCATTATCACACATAGCAGGAGCTCAGGAAGTGTTCACTGCAAGAGGCTACAGAAATAACAATGTGTAGTGTTGGAGAAACATCTCACACTGAATATGCAGCTGAACATTAGGTCACCCAGCTTTACAAACCAAGTACAAGGCGTTGTAGACTTCTATGATAATTAAACAAAAAGGACTATTCATGTTCAAAAAACAATGCTTTCCATCTTGCACCACAGGTGGCAGTGAACAACAAACTCTGATGTTCAGGATGCCTCTATGTGCTGAGTTCAGCCTACGCATTTTGCTGTTTTATTACAAAACTCTTAGGATTCCACTCAGACAAATCCAATCTTTTCTTTTCACAATCTCTGTGAATCTTGTGGAACTTAGAGACCTGGATGGCTCCCCTTTTTCCTACTTTATAATTTCTTACCCTTGCTACAGAAAAAAAAAACCATTTTACAACAATTCTCCCTGTCCACAAAAGGCATTGATTCCATTCGCCAAAGTCCTCTCAAAGGTTAATGGCAGATATCCTTCTCCTGCCTTGAAAATGTTATGTAGACATTAAGCACTACCTTTCAGCTGCGCAAGAAATTGCTCCAGAAATAAGACTGCTGCTGATGAACACACCTCCCCTGTTCAGTTTCCTAGGTTTTGTTAATTGACAAAGAGGCTGATTTACCAAAGCAGTACTGAGACTGCAGCTCTACATCCAGTTACCACATTTAACAATGGTACCACAGGGCTATATTTATTGTGCCTCAAATCATTAAAATCTCCAAATTAATGGAAAACAAGAACATGAATTAAAAAAACCCAACTACTGGACTACTTTCCTATATTAATCTGTATTTCCACAGATGGATCGGTGTAATCCTGGACGTATAGGCTAACAGGGAGACAGCCCTGCAGAAAGGGATCTAACAGTTGTGCTGGATGGCAAGGTCAATCAGTCAGCAGTGTGGCCTGCTGCTCACAATGGCCAACCGTACCCTCGTAAGCATTAAGCACAGTATAGCCAACTGGTTGAAAGAAGTGATTGTCCCACTATACTCAGCATTGGTGTAGCCTCACCTCAAGTACTGTGTGCAGTTTTGGGCTGCACAATATAAGGAGGATATAAAAATATTAGAATGTGTCCAAAGGAGGGTGAAAGGGCTAGAAGGCATGACTTGTGAGGAGCAGATGAGGCTATTAGGTTTGTTTAGGGAAGAGAAGACTGAGGGGTGATCTCATTGCTGTCTCCCAACTTCCTCATGAGAGGGGCAGGAAGGGTGGTGCTGATCTCTAGTGCCGGGTGATAAGATGCAAGAGAATGGCTTAAAGCTGCATCAGGAAAGTTCAGATTGCATATTAACTAAAAGTTCTTCAGTGAGAGGGTGGTCAAGCACTGGAAGAAGTTCCCCAGGGAAGTGGTCATGGCCTCAAGCCTGTTGGTATTCAAGAAGTATTTGGACAACACTCTTAGATATATGGTTTATCTTTTAGATTGCCCTGTGTGGAGTCAGGAGTTGGACTCAGTCACTCTTGTGGATACCTTCCAACTCACATATTCCGTTCCATGATTCTGTGATCTCAGATCCCAACAGCTTAACTAAAATACAGGCTCCATCAGTGCTTTCAAATCCATAGTTTTTCCTAATTAAATTGCATGGAAAAGGAATGACCATTGAACAATAGAGAGAGGCACATCCTGCTTTGTTCTGCTAAGGTAAATCTAGAACAGATGTGAACACATAAGTTTAAATAGTCAAGAATTTTTACTCACTCGACAATCCCGCTGTAATGTTTTCATCAATGCACTGTGTGTTTCAGAGTCAAAATGCAACCCTTCATGCATGTCTTGCAAGAAATCCAAGTCTTTGAATGTAGGGTTGGTCTTCTCCCTCTCTTTTCTTGATGCTCTCCGTTTGTATGTGGAGCCTTTCAAGTCATACGTGAAATGCATTTTCAAGGCTCGTGGCAAAACATTATTCATGACAACAATTCTAATATTAATGCCTCCTGACTGAACACAGTACAGCCCATAAAATTTGGGTAGAAGAGTCCTTGGATTCTGGTTCAGGTTCTAAAACAAAAGAAGTATTTTTAAATGTGTCTATTGAAAAAACATCATGCTTACAAAAAAGGTTTTTTTAATAGCAAAGGACATTAACAAACATCAGGAAAACTGTGCATATTCTTATTCAGTATATTTTCCTTGACCAGGTGATTTTCTCTGTGGGTCTGTATTTCTGAAAGCTACCATAAACACTGCCCTTTTGCCAGGAACTTACATAAGCCAAGAGCAGAGCAGTAGTTGTATTTATGCCAGGCTTCTCTTTCTCACATCCTATGAAATAGCAGACTAGGCCAAACCTAAAAGCATCCCAAGGATTTAATTCATTTATTCTGACCTGAACAACCAACAACCGTTCCTTTGCATTCCACCTGCTGGAATGAGTTTGGATCAAATCTAGTTCTCATTACCTTGACTGATTCTGAAAAACAGAACCCTTGTCTCCATGAGACTTTTCAAATCAAGAGTTAGTGCCAAATGACCAAGTTGTCTCCACAGGAGTATGAGTTCACAATAGAACCACAACTGACCAGCAGAACAGAAAAGTGTGAAATAAACCAAATTCCACAATAGGCAAAAAAATTAACTAGGAGAAGATAAGAGGTGAGAGCAAAAATCTTCCTTCTGAATACACCTACTCTCAGTTTTTGGCATAAAAAAGCAAGAAGAGGAAAAACTACTTCAAGTCTTACATGATTACTAAGTCACAACATACAGCTATGGGAAGAAAGTACTTTCATAGGAAATAATCAGAGCGATTAAAGTTTTACACTTCGAAAACCCTTGCATATGGTAGTAGTGAGAATGTTCCCAGAAAAACAAAATGACCTTATATTTACTTGTAATAACTCAAACTTATGCTGAGCTGATAATCGTGATTAGAAACAACAAAGAAATACCTGCCACCATTGCTCTTTTTCATGCTGTCACTGCATTATTTTTAAACAAACAGTGAATCCATGTTACTTTAGTGTGATAGTGACAATATTCCTTATTTGTAGTACGAGTGGGTAACTTTTCAAGTGTTTACTTAAAGTAAAGCAAACAAAGTCAGTCATAGCTCTAATACTTTGAAGTCCTGCATACCACCCAGAAGAATCGCTGTTCATATGTATGACTGGCTTTTGTTTAAAAAAAAAAAAAGACAAAAGGAGAATTAAGTTCTACTCTGGACCAATGCTTTCCCTTTCTGATGACTGACACATAAACCAATACAATTGACTTAATATTAGCCCTCAAAAAGCTCCATTTAAGAATTAAGTTTGAAACAAATTGTATGGATAAAAATATTTTTTACATCATTGTTCTAACACACAAGAAATGGAAATTAGAAGGAGTCCAGAAACAAAAGTGAAACTGACCGGTCTAGTTTCTTTGTCCACTCTGAGTGAAATGCAGAGGGTAGACAAACACAAAATGGAGAAAAAAGTTGAATTAGAAATTTAGAATTTTTTTTGCTACTAGCTCATTAGAAGCAAAGTTTAGTATCAAATCAGAAGGTGATATTCAGCTTCATCTTGAATGCTAAAAGAACAACAATTATCTTAAATATATTCTTGATTTATATCTATTCTTTCTGATGGGTGTGTGGGGTACAAAGTTGAAAGACATGTAAAAGTGTCAAAAATATTACAAAAAATATGGATAAAGCCAATGAAAGATTAAAAGACAACAGATTAAACTGAATCTTCAGAAGTACAACATGAAAAACATAGGTAAAATACAGTCTTCAATTACTTACCATATAATAACCCGGCAAAAGCTTCTGAAGAAACTCAGCCTCTTTGTGTTGAACTGTTTTGATGATGAACTCATCATCACTAGTTACAAAAAATAAGGACCCACTGGCACCTGGGTTGGATAATTCAATCAAAGGCTCACTGCAGATTGAGTACTGAAAGAGACAAAAAATGTTTTTCACTGCCAATGCATGCATTTCTCAAACACAAGTTTAATACAAAGAACTGCAGGTTAAAATAGACACAGGAGAATCATAGAGCTTATTCTTTGGTCTTCAACTGCAGCAACTCTTCTACTGTACAGCAAGCTGGGTCACAAGTAATTTGGCTGAGGTTTGGCAGGGCAGTTACACTCCACTCTGCCCAGGACATGCTGCACAACCATGGAAGAGCAGTTGGCAGCCAAGCATATGGCCCGTCTTCACACCTCACTGCACCAGCTGAACTTTCCCCAGAGTGAAGTGAATGGTTGAGGTGAAGAGAGCCCGTCCCCACACTGTCAGGACTGCAAATTCTTGAGTCAGAAGCTTTAAGATGACACTTTCACTGCAACTGTTCACTTTTCATAGCCATTTATGAAACAGGTACAGGAAGATGTTAGATAAAGACACCAGAAGTAGAGGTTTCTCACTATAGACAAATAGGGAAGTCCTGCGAAATTGGGATTGAAGCCATTAGAATAGTAATTGCAGTATGGCTGCTAATGTAGTTTTCTGATTGAAAACTGTTTGAAATAGAAAAACTAAATACCAGTAAGTAGGAAAAATTAGGCTTTGGAGGGCCATTATTTTGAATGCATAGACAGGCTTTCTCTTCCACAGGGAGACTGTAATAATTAACCATCACATTAAGGAGGAAAAAGACACCAAGGAGTATTCCTTACTAGTAGAACCAGATCTCACACAGAGGCTAATGTACATTTATTAAATCACCATTAACTCACACTTCATGCTTCATTCAAACTAAATGGAGAGGAGACATTAAGCTCAAAAACATAGAAAAATCTGTTTATATTAAATTTGAGAGCTTGTTTAAAATACAATGTCATTAAACTCTCTTTCACACACACTTTTCCTTGGTTATATATCACCAATTTTACAAACTTGCAGATTTACTGTACAATCCAATATTTCAAGGCGTCTTTGAAAGAAAGAAAATTAACAGGATGTGAGTTGTGAGTAGTGTGAGCACCAGGGAATTATTCTTAGCAATGCAGTATGTCTTCTGGTCTTCTCGGAAGAAAAGGAATAACTGTTTCAGTAACAAATACCTGGTTTATTGGGTAATTGCCTGAGATGAGTTGAGCAATTCCAAAAGAAAAAACAGTTTTGTTTGTTGACAATAGCTTTCATTAAATTCAACTGGAGTCTTGCCATTGATTTCAGCAGGTGGTGATAGCAAAAAAAAGTTATACAAGAAAATCTAATAAATATGTTCTTTTGTGAACACTTGAAGTAAAGAGGCATGTTTCCTATGGACTCAAACAACTGTGTTAATGCATTTTCTTATTCTGGCTCCAGCTGAGGCTTTTCCCATACTTAGAATTTTTAAGAGACTTTTGCACGCTATAAAAATGTTTCCTGTTTCTCTCCTTGCTTCTGGAGTTCACTCAGTTCCACCTAACACAAGAGACCTTTCTTATTAATCCTATACTAGCAATTGTCTAGAGATAGAACAGCAATACTGGTCTGCAACAAAGAGCAAATCAGCAGTTGTATTGCAACCCCTGTGTTTTTCTTGCCAAAATATATAAAGCTTCTTAAGTAACTGTCATTGTTGTAAGCACTGGAAACCAATTATCCTAAACATTAAAGCTCAATAAAACAGTATAGCATAAGCACAAGTTTTTGACCAACACTGTGTGTCGGTCATTTTGCAGTTGAGTTCATTCCTGTAAAATAAAAGTCTATCCACCAAGTGCTACTATACAAAGAGCCCAGCTAATTTTGACAGGGCACTTATGAAAGCCAAATCAAAACTGAAAAGTAAGAAAATCCTCAAGCCCCTGACAATTAAGTACTTTATGATCAAGAAGTTTCCCTGCAAAATGCCAGTACTCCATAAGGTTTCCAGTGACAATTTAATTCTACCAGCTGTTCAAAACATATTTACCCTCGTTATCCAGGCTGACTCCTACAGTGCATTACCGCTCAACCTCCTTGGAAAAGTTGAAACTGTAAATCTTCGGCCTTTGTCATTGCAAATTAACAGTGTAATCTCACATACGCTTCCTGTAATTTCTCCTCCTCTTACTTTACTTCCCTTCCCCTTCAGCCACAGTTGGACCATCACTTGGTATGTTGTTACAGTAAAGTGTTTTAGACCCTTAACTGGAATTATGGTCACTACATGACAGATCCAGATTTCACAGAAACAAGAGGGACTGTTCAGCCAGAACCCTGACGCATGCTATTGGGAGCGAACTCTTAACCAGATGTTTTGGTCATAACCAATTGGGAAGAGGGTCCCATGCTACAAATAGTTTGGTTTATGATCATAGTACCCATCTGATCACATCTGCCTCTGGATCACAAGGGACTGCCAACTGGTCTGATTGCAAAGAGATGCCCATTTAGAATCAGAAACAGAAATGGATTCTAATATGCTTGCAGAGTAAGTATAACCCTAACAGAGGCATGCATCAGTTACAACACCACACAGTGAAATTCTAACTATATTTCACAAATATACCTATTTGTTGAAGGAATCCTGCTTTTGCATTTTCAAGAAAAGAAGGTGCACTTAATATTGAAACTAGCTTTTGTAGTTGCCCCTTTTCCATGGAAATCCGCCACTAGTGTCTTTTGCTGTGGCAAGAGCAAAAAAAGAATCTGCAACAATTTTGCTAGGAATTTCCTTCAGGGATTAGCCATTTTGTAGCTAAAATGAGTGTCACAAATCTCTTATCAACAGCAAGCAGTCTTTCTATAACCTTTAATTTATGCTACTGCAAATGTTTCCTTAGATGGAATGAAGTTGCAGGTGACAATAGCTTTACTCTAGGAAGTACAGACTTTTTAGCAGCTGGCTACACAGCTTGCATACTTCATCTTTCACCAAGTCCATAAAAAGAGATAGATAAACAACATATTATATAATGACACTTCTATCAAACTTCAACCCAACAGCACTTCCTTGCTACTACCATCTATAATTCAAAGGAATTACCTGTTTTTATACAGAATTATTGGATTTTGTATTACTAGCCCTCATGACATACACAGTGCTAAAGAACTACAATCAGACACCCACATTTCACCTAAATAAAAGCAAAACCAGCTAAGTTTTGCTTTTAGGCTCATTGTCCAAGAAGGAAAAACACCCTTATAACAAACGCACTGGAACACAACAGAAGACAGCGAAGTAAATATACTAAGTAATGTTTTAGCACCATATAATCAATTTTTCTTTTTTACTCACTCAAGGTCTTTCAAATTCTTTTGGTTGTAAAGAAACAGTTATCGATAATGGAACAAAAAAGATCTAAAAACTCATTCAAAGGAAGTTAACAACAAAACTCTGACATATGAAATTGCTAATTTGTACTGGGACTCTGATTTGTTGGGTGGACCACCATGAGACAAATGGGACATGAGGTAAGCATTTCAAAAACAATCCAGCTCTTCGCTTTTACACTACCCTTCCAAAAGCAGAACTACAGGAGAAATAGTGGATCCTTGCCCCTGGCAGTGCACAAAGTGGTTTTGCCAATTAAACCCTGCTTTTACGATGGCAGCAAATGCATCACTTTTTTCTCATGTGAACAGTTGAATACTGAGAAGTGTTGAGGGATATTAGTTAACATAAATAAGTAGGTTTTAATTAGAATAAATTACTTATGATTATATTAGAGTGTGATTTTGCTGTTTGCTTAGCTTCACTTAGCATGAGTGGCTAGATTTGCTGAAGCCTTTAGGCAGCAACAGAGGTATGTTTCTCAGTAATTTTCCTAGTAGTTAGTACAATGCTGTGTTTAGTCTTTCAGCATGGGAAAGTATTTTGATATCACACTAATGTTTTGGTATTGTTTTTCCCAAGTCTAGGACTCTTCAGTTCTCCATGTTCCACCAGCAAGGGCAGATGCACAAGGACCGTAAACCAGAAGACACGGAGGCTCCAACCTTCAGGGAAAACTGCAGAAACTGCAAGTCAACAAGATAAGAGCCTGCCTGGTCACAGAAGAAGAATCCAATTAGATGTCAGAAGACCTCAGACCAAAAATCACCATTGGACTAAAGGACACATGGACAGCACAGGAGGGGCACATCAGGGGCAGGCGTGTGGGTCCCAAGGGTATAATTGCCCCGGGGTTTCTTTGTCCTGGGTCCCTCTCTTTGGCAGCACCCAGCCCAGGCTGATCCTACAGCTGCACCTTTCAATTAAATTAATTATAAAATCTCACACCTGAGACTCTGCTGTGGGAAACCTAGGGTCAAGCCTGAAAGAGGAGGAAGCATGGCCAAGAGTAAGTCTGTGTGTGTGTGTGCGCGCACACAACACCATGAATGGTGTGTGACTGCTCAGGCAGTAGATAATCCTTTAACAAGAAGGAATAAGTCTTCAAGCTATAAAATACAGACAAAGGAGATACTCTAAAATGCATTTTTTTTAGCCCACCACCTGTTTTTCTCAAGGCAAGATGGGAATATTTGCAGACACTTATTTAATAAAGTGAATAAATAATGCAAATAACACAAGAGCACTTTATTAGAACTGAATTGACAGAAGTCACACAAGTACTGATTACAACTTCTCTAGAAATAATGACCTGAATGACCAATAATACTCAAGTTACTCTAGTCAATTTACAAGGCAGGTGTTTATAGGAATTTTCTCAAAGATGAAGAATTAAAATTTTCTTAAAACACTAAAAATATTCACTTGATATAGACCGGTCCACACACAACGTTTACTAACCATTCAGGCACCATTAAAGCACCCTCTTCTGTCACTATGAAAATAGTATACCTTCTAATCATTTGTAACTCAAAGGAAAACTGCAAGCTCTTACCAAGTAATCATCAGCCTTGATACCAAAAAGTTCTCTGAAATAGCGGAAGGCAAGAGGTGCATACGTCTTAAATCTGAAGTCAGGGTAATGATGAGCTGGGGTGAGATTGCTCCCTTCACTGAAAGGAAAAAACAAAAATAAGCCAAACCCAATTATTACTGGCCCATTTTTAGCAACTCTCCTCTTACAGATAGTTTTATTATAAAGCTAACTCAATCATCGGCCTTCTGAGACAAGATTCATCAATGCAGTCAAACCTCCCTATCACCATTATTCAGTGTAATAGAAATGTCTGTGGGAGACAAAATACTGCCAGCAAATTCCTTTCTCCCGCCTTAAAGGCAATTACTATTTTTCATCACCCATACCCATTTGCGTAAAGAAGGGGTTTAAACTAAGACTACAATTTCTGATACCTGGCCAAGGTAAGCCAGTGTAATAGCTTACCAATGAAGAATGGGTCACCCCCACCTCTTGCAAAAAGTTGGGAAGTCAACACAGTAAAACAATTTTACACTAGCTTGGTGACCTGAATTGGTCTGCAGGGGAGCCAGACAGATACTAAGGACACCACAACAGAGGGCAGAACCATCTCGCCAGTGCAGCGGGAAGGAAGCCGAACTACATATGTTTTTTGGTGGCAGCAAACATTGATTGGCTCAGCCTTATTTATGAAACACCATCCTCAACACTAGTCTCTTCTGCAGACTAACTGCAGTTATGGTATGTCTTCTTTCTTGCTAGTACAGTCCAGAATTGGGAAGCCATTCTGGCTTTGCTGACCTTAAAGAGGTTTTCTGTTTGTTTGTCTGTCATGTCATGTATTTTACCCCACCTTGATCTAAACCAGCACTAGCCTACATGTTCAGTTGGTTAAATAGGAATGCAGGGTACAGACTCCTTGGGGAATTCTGGAAAATGGTATGCAGATTCAAACTAAGAGGCACAAAGACTACTGGAGTAACCAGCCTGGAAGACAGTCTTTCTTAAAGGAATAATAATTAAAAAATAATACAAATCATTGTAGCCTCCTTAGCGCTTTACTTTGTATTTACCATCTCAATGTATTGTTAGGCTGCAGTTGTACGAGTCTTGAGATGAATACTACGTAATTTAAGCTAAAGGAAAAGGTCAGCAGCAAAATCCTGCCAAAAGAAAAAGATATATAAAAACTGCCTGGGGATTCATTTATGATGGAAACTAAAAGAAGGCTTTTAAGCAGAAGAGTAAAGGTCGACACTATGATTTCAACACAAACAAGAACAGCTTTTAGACAAAGTCTGGTCAGTCTCCAAGTGGTTTGATAAATAGATGAGTACAAAATCCAAGACTTGACACAGTGGCCAAGATCAGCTCTTTCAGCACTTCTTTACTCATTTACCTTAACTTATTCAGAAGAATATCCACAGTATACAAAAAAAAGAAAAAATATGTAAATAAATAAACTCTAAGCAATATTCCTGCAAAGACTAAATTAAATATAATGAAAATATTTAAGAGTTTTGAACCTGTACAGCTAATGCTGGTCATATGAACTCATCACCTTCCATTAATAACAATTTGATGACAGAAGTCTACCCAACCCACCTAGCTGCCCCTGCACGCATACTGCCAAAACCCAATAGAACTGAACAGCTACTAATTGAACAATGTGAGCTGGAGAACAAGCTTTCTCAGGCTCCAGAAGTACATATGCTTCAGACTGTTGAATAGGAGACAAAAGGTAGGAAAAAATCAACCTGATTTCTCTCTGGAAATCACAAATAAAAAGATGGTTGTGGATGACCAAATATACATACAAAGACACTAGAATACCGCTGTTTATTGAAGTGCTAAAACATACAGTTAACAGTGAAGGCTGCCTAGTCTTAATGAACTTGTCTGATCACTTTATAGTCTACCATATCACAACTCCAAGGTATTAAAATAAAATCCAAATGTATTTCATTGTTCCATTATACAGTAAAAAATGGCAATCAGTAGGATACTAGGCTGAAGATGGTTGTTTCTCTCTATAGTTAAGATTGGCTAATGCTTTTTCTTATAAGGTCTTTCAGCTGCTCAGAACACTGCCAGTCTTGTCTGACATTAAGTTTTTTATAGCTGGATGCATCTCATTGAATTTTTGTGCAATATGAGGATGCCACAGGGGTAATGTATAGCTACCCTGGGAACCTGGGGGCATACTTGTAAATGCATTTAATTGTTGTAAAGATGCAGGCAAGAACAGAACAGAGAGTGTTCTCTGCTGAAGCATCTCATCATTGCCAGGGAAAATTAATTGTCTAGACTCTAATAAAAAAATCCTACCTTTCAGTATATAAATACCATTATAAATCTGCTTCCTGCAGCCATAACTCAAAAGCTTTTTTTGTGAAAGCATGACAATAAATAGATTACATGTCCTTACTATACCAGAACATGTACTGTTGTTGGAACTTCACCAGGCTGAAATGAAGATAGGAGGTTTGCTATGATAATAGCATGGGTCTAAGCCATTTCATAAGTGCATATGGAGTAAAATGACCAATACTGGGTCTGCAGGTGAACAGGAATGCATAGTAAGTGGAGATTTATTTCCAGAATAGTTGCAAGACAGAGCAATTGTTTTGGAAAAGCATCTACTCAGAGGGCAATTCCATGTATTTAGAGCACATGATCTTATTTTATTGCAGATACGACAGTCAATTCCACTGGGCAGACAAGTTTCTTTATTCTTTGTATAATCATCTTAAAAATGCCCTTTCACTAAAGGTCTGTAGAGCTTTTATCATATCCTACAATTTCTGTTAAACACATTAATTAGTTTCAGCTTCACTGCCTAATAGAATAATGTACAAGATCTCAACAGTAAGCTGTTCTGTGATGCAAGAAGCAAGCTTGACACAAATTCAAAATTTATTGGTTACCCCTCTAGATGAAACTTTGTAAGGTTTTCTTGTTGCTACTTTTAACAGAAAAAGCACCCTCACTTCCAGTAATTTCCTACAGTAATGGAAAACCGTCAAGTTTCTTGCAGCTGAATACATCCTTGCTCTTACCTGGAAAGGACAGTTTCCACTGTACAGAACACTTGATGCAAATACACCTCTACCTTATTTAGACATGAAGTTATTCACCTTCCACTCTATTAGCTCTTGAGAGAATGTATTTCATGGTTTCTCCCCACATTTTCTTGGCACATTTTACAAGTGCATTTCACTCTGGCTGGATTAAAGTATATGCACAAAGCACTGTGTATAACAATTTTTAATCAGGCTAGGAAGGTTCATGGGGCTGATTATGTCTTTGAAGTTGAACAAGAAAATTACCCATGGATCTGCTGACAAAAAACTTAATCTGCAAAATGGAGCTGTGGATATAATAGAAATGTACTCTATTAAAAAAAAGTAATCATATAATTTTGCTCTCAGATAGACCTGTGCCCTAAACCACCAGTAAATAAAGAAAAGGAAAAATAAAGGCTTTTAATATCAGCTTTGATTCTGGCAGTCTTGAGGAATTAAAGTCTGTGCATATGAGCTATGACAAACAATATAGTCTTTGGAAAGATTAGTAAGCAATTCTAACTTATGAGGTATTTTAATAACCTTAGGTGTAAGACCACACAAAAGCAAAAGATTGGTAGGTAAAATAAAAAAAAAGAAAGATTAAGCTTACTATGTGAGTGTGCTTTAATACTTAAATTTTAGATATATTTTTTTTTTAAAATCAAGCACACCTAGAAATTACAGTATGTGCATCTTAACCTGTCTCTTAGTAAATGCTGCGGGTTGGTTTAAAATGCAGGTGATGCAATATCACTCCAAAAATGAACTAAAACTAATTACATATTTTAAGGGCTAACCTCATGGCTTCCAAAAATTTTGATAAACAAGACACCCAGATATGTTTCTTGGCAGCTTTTTTTTACTATAGCCTCACCCTGGTAGAATGTACTCAGGAGAGAGCCCACCTATCTGAAGGGGCAGAGGAGGCTACCTGCATCTCTTGGTAGCAAGCCTTATCACAGGGCAACATTAATAGGCTCTGATGTAGCTGTTAACAAAAGAAATAGTCATGTTGTAGTTGTGGGCCTGCGTATACCGTTCTTGTATGTATTGTAAAAAGAGTGAAGAGGTGGAACACCTCAGTTCTCTCATGTGAAAGTGACTTTTTTTAATATCTTAAAATCAAAATGAAACATCTAAAATTAAATACTTCCAATATTAAAAACTAAGAGTATCCAATCTCAGTTTCACTGTTCTTAGATAAAGCTGCTCTTTTACAATACATCAAAATGTGTTTAAACTCTACAAACTGTATCCAATAAATACATACTGACAGATAAGGTGACAGATAAGGTAGTGCTTTGTGTGTTCATTTCCTATATATCAATTCAGGAAAGCAATTGTTTCCCACACCATGGAAGCAGGTATTACGGCTACCTGTACAAACAGATGTGTGTTTGGTTTTTCCATACTGTGGGATAAAGTCCAGTGGTAATATCTTTGTTTCTCACTGTAAGTTCTCCTATACTTTCGGTTAGTATATGCTATCCTAAGCAGTCCCTGCAAGGCAGCTTTGAAATACAACTGTGAATAGTACGTATTGTCAAAAAAAGTCAAGCCAATCATATCTACGTAACAGCTGAATACACATACATTTTCTTATGATGAAGATACATCTTTTGCAACTAACCAGAGATGGCATTAAAACAAGGGATCTCAGAGTACTTTAAAAATAGTTTAAGTATGTCTACAGAACCACACAAGTGTCCAGGTTATCACAGGTTTACCAAGAATCGACAGTAAGAGAACTAAGACCAGTAACTCGTAATGAACATGTTTTTGCTTTTGTTGCCACAGCATCCCCATTTTGAATACTATTTGTTTTGCAAACAAAAACTACTTCCTCCTATCTGTGCTATCACTCTATTCATAAACCATAAAAAGCATGTCAGAACTTGGGTCATCCCATGCAGCTACGCAACTGAAGCACCAAAGAGCAGCAGCAGCACTTTATCAAAGGCTTCAGGCCACTTATCTGTCTTGTGAAATTGCTCAACTGGAAACAAATACAGTGGCATAAGTTACACAACAACTAAGCATTAGTGTTAATATCTGAGTACTACTCACACTGAGCTTGCAGAGCATTCTACACTTCCTTAAGTACAGACAGACTACTTAGTCCATCAGGTAACTTATGACACAGGTTTGGTACAAAGAAATTTCCAAGGGCAGGTGTCAGTTTTCCTCATTTCTCTAAATCAGTCCTCAAAAACACACCAGAACACAGTACATTTCAGTTTTAGATGTATAGTAAAACCCTAGACTGGTTAAAATATGCCCAAGGTTTTACTTTTCTCAGTACTTTTGACTACTTACTTGGGCTGTCATCCACAATGGTATCATAATACAATATTAAGTTTTTGACATTAAAGAGCAGAAAGCACTGCATAATCTTGCATTAGCATCACAAGAAAGCAATTTGTAATTGAACTAGTTCACAGTACAGACAACAGTAGCTGCAGGGTGCATATGGGTCAACAGCATCTAACAGACAACTAGTTAAATTAGCAACTATAGCAAGTGTTCTCAATATGCAGGGTCTAGACTGCGAAAATAAAACCTATTAGCAAGGGAAGTGCAGAAGACTGATTCATAGCTTGCTTCAAGAAGGTCACACTCAGTTGTGCTTAGCAGCAGCCTCCATTCAAGAACACAAAAAGGGATGGAGCCTGAAACATACTGCCTTGCTCCAAACGCTCTGCATTTCTGAAGTTGCATATGACTGACTAGCCAACGTTAGCTGACAGAATAGCGCAGCTTCTGCTCGGCTTGCCAAGCATCACTGCAGAAAATGTGCCTACTTAGTATATATCTGCTGGGAGAGCTTAGCAAGCTGCCCATATTGCCAACTCACAGGCAGCTGGATGGCCCCATGGCACAGCAACCAGCTTAGGCCACCACTGCCTGACACAGCTAGGCTTATTAGCTCAGCAATGAGCCTTTATAACCATGGCCACATTACTTGGAACCAGCTCCATACTTGAACCAAACAGCTGCAAAACACTGCTGTTGCCACATTGAAAAAATGACTGATTTGGAGACAAAACATGCCACTGAGAAATGAACTGGTTCCATCAAGGAAGTCAGCAGTACAGAGTATAACACAGGAAGGGGAGAATATGCCTTGCACAGCTAAGTCATAGGACAGAGTGTAGACAGCACAGGCAGGATGCACAACCTTCCCACTGAACCCTCCAGCCACTGCTACAGCAGTACCAGCACCAGGTAAGAAACTATGGTGCTGGATTTCCAATGCAGTGTTTAAAAGCCAGAGGAGTGGTTACTTGGAGTAGTTCCCCCTGTGGTTTCACCCTATTCAGGGAGCTGGGTGGAGACTTCAAACACTGTCTTCAGAATCAACTGGATCACTCAGACTGCATTTGTTTCTCAATCCAAGGAGGATATTTACATAGTGCCACTTAAACTCAGTCTGGACAGTGGTTTTCAATTAACTCCTTTATAGCAGCCCCTAGTAAAAACTCAGTTCCCAAAAACAACATGTTATAAACTCCTGGGCAGCCCAAAGAGAAAGGGACAATGGGGATGCCACAGTGTGAAGCAGAAAGTGACAAAGGCACTTCTCCACCCTCTCCACCACTACAATGTACAAATGAAAGCAAGCACCATTGCAACTCAAATCCACCCACTGTACAGAGATACCTGTACTTCACTCCAAAGTCACCTCCTGAAATAAACACCTAAATGAATCTGAGCTAAACTCTGACCAATTTAATCCAGTTACAAAGTAACTCTGAACCAGGCATAATCTGCAATCCATGAGTTACTCCTGATTTACATCAGTAGCTCCCACAATAAACAGGGCAGTTATGTTCAGGTCTGAACTGACCGCTTTTTTTTCTCCTGGCATTTTTCTCCATCCTTCATGAATCCTGAACACTGCTGGAAGTGTTTTGCTATGGTTACCAGAACTGAGGTACAGGTGGTGCTCAGGTTTACTGCAGGGGCTGAGAGATATGCATAGACTATTTACCTTCTGCAAGTGGTAAAATTTATAAACAATTGTTGACTATTTTCCCCTAACAATAAAAAGGCACAGATAACACTATTTTGCTCACTAGCGCGCAGGCTGCTGTTTGATCGCATTTCTACTAGCTCAGGTCTGTTTTATCGCTGCCACCATAACAGCGCTCCTGTTGTTGCCAAAGCAGCAGGTGTGCCTGTGACTCTGCAAAACAGCTGTCCTCTCACCTCGCTGCCAGACCCAGATAAGGCGAAGTGAATGCAGGAAAGACATGGGAGGAAAGTGGAGCAGGACACCTTGTGAAGAGACAGGTTGCTGTGAATTGGCCACAATAAAGGGGAAGTTCAGCTAATGGGCTGCTTGGAGTTGCAGCTGAATTATGTGTACTCAAAGTAAGTGGAAAAATGCTGCGTCTTGCTTGGTAAGCGCCTGCTTTAAGCACCACACTTGCTGCACTGTCAGGTTGTCCTCCAGCTGTGGACATCTGGCAAAAAGCTAACTTAACCTCAGTTTGCTCCAGGGTATTTCCAGGTAGAGGTCAGTCCACTGGATCCACTGGTGCAACTAATTTCTTTCAATCCAGATCCATCCAAAGGGGAAAAAAAGTCATTAATGACTTTAAGAGTACTGCCCTCACATGTAGGTACTGTCCTAGGAAAAGGTGAAGAGCACCTGAGGTGCACCTTGGGAGCACAGCCCTATCTGGAAAGAACATAGAACCTTAGCTTTTTACCTCTGACTAGGGCAAAGCTACCTATAGATATGACTCAGGAGTGACGCACATAATGCCATCATGAAAGACTCCACATCCCAACACCCTCAACCAACAAGAAAGAAGTCTGTATAATTATGTGCAATCCTAAATTATTATAATTTATGCAAATTACCACTTTGGATTAAATCCATTTTAGATAAATGAATGCGCATGTTACATTAAGACATAGGAAGGACTTGAAATTCAACATTTCTGTGCATTAGCATAAGAAATCAGGTGTCATGATTTTAAGAGATTACTATGGACAGTAAGTTTTTAGTTTCACAGAGAATGTTATGTAAGTGCTCTTTATAGAGAGGATCTTTGTTCCAGTCAAGATGACCCACTATTATATACTCCTGTTTACCAGACAGCTATGCAAAAAAAAAGCTGTGTTGCTCTGGCCATTACTTTCATTTGGCTAATTTTCTCATATGATTTATTTATTTACAGGAAACTTCCCAGAAATGTGCTACTAAAGCTTTTATAGTAAATTTTTTGTTAGCACAAATTGGTTATTCCTTCCGCCCTTATTTTTAAGCCAGAAGGGATCTCTCCCAGCTCTCCCTTAAAACCAACACAAAACAGGCAAATCTCATTTCTGAATGTACGTACAAGTTTCACAGGAGACATGACTTACACAATGCTATGGATTACAAACCATTTTATTTCACTTGTTCCTTTAAAACAATGTGAAAAAAAAAAAGAGATAGAGATCAGAGTTTTTTCCAAAACTGTGCTATGTAATGCAACAGTTTTAGCAAGAATGTTTCATTTAATTTTTGAGCACTAAGTAGGTATATCACAGCAAAACAAACTACAGAAACCTACATCACTGAGTCACACATTTCACAAATACGCCTCACTCCCTCTCACTTCATTGTTAATACCAATAAAAACTTTGTTACATGATATGCGAATTTCTCAACTGTTATTTGGATTTTTTAAAAAAATAAATTTGTGATTACAGTGTATGAAAACACATGCACAACGTTAACTTCTCTATATTTACCTAATCTGTAAGAGGAAGACTACAAAACTGTGCACAAACTTGTGGTTAACACCAGAACAAAGATATGAAAACCCTGAATTTCTAGGAGCTAAAGAATGTAATGTAAAAGCTTCATTTCGCATAAGAAATTTTCTTCTCCTTAAAGGATACCTCAGTTCAGAGGAAAACAGAAGTTGAATCAAGCAATATACATGGAGAGATCAATTTTAAAGCACCTGCAATTACTTCATACATTGTCAGTTTAACTTTGTTTTAGTAACATCAGTATTTAAAGATCCTAAATTATTAGAAATAGTTTATGAAGTAGTACTTAGAAATAGTTTATGAAACTGCACATGAACAAAACTTCGAAAAACTCATAGAAAGCATTCCCAAATCAGGAATACTGCATAGATAGCATGTCCTTACAGACATGATGGGCACTACTGGTACTTAGCACATCTAAGAACCCAGACAACACCGAACAGACCAACTCATCCTGGTTTTGAAATACATTTTTTCTAAATCTTCTTTGTCCATTCCTAGCACATGTAACTTTGAAAACTGCACTTCAGCTTCTGAACCCCCAAAATGAGTATGACCTTGATTTTGCTCATCAGTATAATTTTATTACTGCAAGTTCTATACCATCAACTTGGCAGTGATACAAGGTGAGGTGGCCAAATACAAAGCAGTAATGGTACACAACCTGTAGTCAGCTAGCTGAGCCTCATCACATACCAAAGTCTTGGATAGAATTTTATAGTGTAGTGGAAATTCTTATATTACTCTAAACACCACAGGACTTGAATTTTCATAAATTTTGAAAACACCTCAACAAAATGGCAAGTATTATTCTCAGTTGTTAGACACCAAACAAACATGTGAGTGTTGGACATAATACTTAATGGCATATAGATCCACAAATCATATCCATTTGTAATTAACAGCTCCTTTAATTGAAAGTGTCACAATTACTTTCTGTGTCTTTAAGTGACAAGTCTCAGATCTTCAGCTGAAGTGAGATCTTTCCAGTTTTCTCCCTACCTTCATTTTCAAGGACAACATGAAGACAGGATAATTTTCAAGTTCTTATACATTAACCTTACTCTAACCCCAAATCATTAGAATTAGGAAGCAATACTTGTTTGAAACTAGTTAGAGTTTCATTATGAAATCCTATTGAAAATAAATTGAATAAGCCTGTCCTTACCTTGGTAGGAAAACACTTTCCACAACATAGAAGTCTTGCATAAGAACATCTCTGTCTGGCTTTGATGTAAGGTTTCCTACTGTGTATCCTATTCCCAGCTGGATGGCACCTTTAATAGCTGAGGATGCAGTCTGTGTAGAAAGTAAGAATTCATAAATAAGTTTGCTAAAAATTGATTTCTGTTCTTTATCAGTAACATATGATAAACTCTTAATCATTTTCATAACAAGGCCATGTCATCTTTACCGCCTGGACTCAAGAGATGACTGCTTTTCAAATAAAAGATTTAAAATAAACATTATCTTCTAGCAAAAGCTACAAAACCCAATTATCTGGTAGTACAGACTGAGACTTTTCAGATTGCCCAAATAATTTAGACAATGGCTTAACTCATCATAGAACACCAGATTGGAAGGGACCTCAAGGATCATCTGGTCCAACCTTTCTTGGCTAGACAAGATGGCCCAGAACCCTGTCCAGCTGAATCTTAAAAGTATCCAACATTGGGGAATCCACCACTTCCCTGGGCAGATTATTCCAATGGCCAATGGTTCTCATTGTGAAACATTTTCTTCTTTTGTCCAATTGGAATCTCCCCAGGAGTAACTTGCAATTATCAAATTAACAAATCCAGGTAGACAATGTCCAGCGCTCGCCCCACATCAACCAAGCAGGTTGCTTTGCCATAGAAGGGGACCAGGTTTGTCAAGCACAATCTGCCCTTGGTGAAGCCGTGCTGGCTGTTCCGAATCCCATGCTTCATTTGACTTGTGATAGATTCATTGCATGACTTTCCCAGGGACTAAA